AACTAATAACTTTTTCACCTATTGACAAAAGTTAACGATATTTTGCAGCATGTAAAATCATTTTAATATTATAAAACATCGTCTTGAAAAAATCATAAAACAAATAATCAATTTATAAAATACAAGTCATATTTGGCATCTCCTGTCCGCCACGGATATGACTTTCATAGAACGTAATGCGAATATAACTTATAACTTGATTATTTATGGACAAAGTTTAACGATATTTTGCGTGTAAAATCATTGTATCATCATATCACACCGTATCAAGAAAACATCATAAAAAACAAATAATTTTATTATTTTTTTATTTATTGGCCAAATTTCACGATATTTTGCATGTTAAAATCATTTTATTATTATTAAACATCGTATCAAGAAAAATAAATAATAAAATAATCAATTTATAAAAAATAAGTCATATTCGGTATCCTCTCCACAACGGATGTGCCTTTTATAGAAAACGCAACGAATATAACTTATAACTTGATTATTTCAACAACAATTACTTTTATTAATATCAGATTACAGACATGTAATAGCATGATTCATTTTGTTTAATATTGAAATATGGGTAAATAGATGGGGACAGATAAATACAAAGTTAATAAGTAAATAACATGTCAATCAATTTAACACAATATTTAAAACTATGTAGACCTTGTTAATATCATTATCTGTAATTTAAATGGTAAATAGGCACGTTGGGAGAATTGGGGTACGCACGGGTAAAGCGTGATAAGAAAACAAAATAATGTTACGAGAATTGGATCAAAAAATGATCTATAAGTCATATTCGGTATCTCCTGTCCGCCACGGACATGACTTTTATAGAAAACGCAACGAATATAACTTATAACTTTTTCACTTATTGACCAAATTTAACGATATTTTGCATGTAAAATCATTTTATTATTATAGAACATCGTTTTGACAAACAATTCATAAACAAATAATCAATTTATAAAATATAAGTCATATTTGGTATCTCCTGTCCGCCACGGATATGACTTTCATACAGAGCGTGCGATATATGTCACTTACAAAGTCATATTCGGTATCTCTTTTCCGCTACGTATCAAATTTAACCATTTTTGGCATATTATTTCATTTTATTATGGAAAAAATATCGTATGGAGAGAAAAAGCTTTATGATCTTTAAGTCATATTCAGTATCTTCTGTCCGCAACGGATATGCTTTCATAGAAAACGCAACGAATATAACATATAACTTTTTTATTTATTGACAAAAATTAACAATATTTTGCATTTAACATTTTATTATTATAAACCATTGTATCGAGAAAAATAAATAATAAAATAATCAATTTATTAAAGATAAGTCATATTCGGTATCTTCTGTCCGCAACATATATGCTTTCATAGAAAAACGCAACGAATATAACATATAACTTTTTTATTTATTGACAAAAATTAACGATATTTTGCATTTAACATTTTATTATTATAAACCATTGTATCGAGAAAAATAAATAATAAAATTATCAATTTATTAAATATAAAGTCATATTCGGTATCTTCTGTCCGCAACAGATATGCTTTCATAGAAAACGCAACGAATATAACATAACTTTTTTATTTATTGACAAAAATAAATGATATTTTGCATTTAACATTTTATTATTATAAACCATCATATCTTGAAAAATAAATAATAAAATAATCAATTTATAAAATTTAAGTCATATTCGGTATCTTCTGTCCGCAACGGATATGACTTTGATAGAAAAACGCAACAAGTATAACTTATAACTTTTTCACTTATTGACCAAATTTAACGAAATTTTGCATGTAAAAACATCATATTATTATTAACTATAGTATCGAGAGAGAAAAAAAATCAATTCATAAAAAAATAAGTCGTATTCGGTATCTTCTGTCCGCAACGGTTATGACTTTTATAGAACGTAATTCGAATATAACTTATAACTTTTTTATTTATTGGCCAAATTTCACGATATTTTGCATGTTAAAATCATTTTATTATTATTAAACATCGTATCAAGAAAAATAAATAATAAAATAATCAATTTATAAAAAATAAGTCATATTCGGTATCTTCTGTCCACAACGGATGTGCTTTTATAGAAAACGCAACGAATATAACTTATAACTTGATTATTTATGGACCAAGTTTAACGATATTTTGCGTGTAAAATCATTGTATCATTTATATAACATCGTATCAAGAAAACATCATAAAACAAAAATCAATTTATAAAATAAAAAGTTATATTCGGTAACTTCTTTCCCGATACGGATATGACTTTTATTTAGAACATGCCACGAAGACAACATGTAAATTTTTTTTTATGTATCAAATTAAACCATTTTTTGGCAAATTACTTTATTTAATTATAAGAAGATCGTATGGAGACAAAAAATTTATGATCTATAAGTCATATTCGGTATCTCCTGTCCGCCACGGACATGACTTTTATAGAAAACGCAACGAATATAACTTATAACTTTTTCACTTATTGACCAAATTTAACGATATTTTGCATGTAAAATCATTTTATTATTATAGAACATCGTTTTGACAAACAATTCATAAACAAATAATCAATTTATAAAATATAAGTCATATTTGGTATCTCCTGTCCGCCACGGATATGACTTTCATACAGAGCGTGCGATATATGTCACTTACAAAGTCATATTCGGTATCTCTTTTCCGCTAAGTATCAAATTTAACCATTTTTGGCATATTATTTCATTTTATTATGAAAAAAATATCGTATGGAGAGAAAAAATTTATGATCTTTAAGTCATATTCAGTATCTTTTGTCCGCAACGGGATATGCTTTCATAGAAAACGCAACGAATATAACATATAACTTTTTTATTTTATTGACAAAAATTAACAATATTTTGCATTTAACATTTTATTATTATAAACCATTGTATCGAGAAAAATAAATAATAAAATAATCAATTTATTAAAGATAAGTCATATTCGGTATCTTCTGTCCGCAACATATATGCTTTCATAGAAAACGCAACGAATATAACATATAACTTTTTTATTTATTGACAAAAATTAACGATATTTTGCATTTAACATTTTATTATTATAAACCATTGTATCGAGAAAAATAAATAATAAAAATTATCAATTTATTAAATATAAGTCATATTCGGTATCTTCTGTCCGCAACAGATATGCTTTCATAGAAAACGCAACGAATATAACATAACTTTTTTATTTATTGACAAAAATTAATGATATTTTGCATTTAACATTTTATTATAAACCATCATATCTTGAAAATAAATAATAAAATAATCAATTTATAAAATTTAAGTCATATTCGGTATCTTCTGTCCGCAACGGATATGACTTTGATAGAAAACGCAACAAGTATAACTTATAACTTTTTCACTTATTGACCAATAACCAATAACATCATATTATTATTAACTATAGTATCGAGAGAGAAAAAAAAACAATTCATAAAAAAATAAGTCGTATTCGGTATCTTCTGTCCGCAACGGTTATGACTTTTATAGAACGTAATTCGAATATAACTTATAACTTTTTTATTTATTGGCCAAATTTCACGATATTTTGCATGTAAAAATCATTTTATTATTATTAAACATCGTATCAAGAAAAATAAATAATAAAAATAATCAATTGATAAAAAAATAAGTCGTATTCAGTATCTTTTGTCCGCAACGGATATGCCTTTTATAGAAAACGCAACGAATATAACTTATAACTTTTTTATTTATTGACCAAATTTAACGATATTTTGCATGTAAAATCATTTTATTATTATTAAACATCGTATCAAGAAAAATAAATAATAAAATAATCAATTTATAAAATTAAGTCGTATTCGGTATCTTCTGTCCGCAACGGATATGCCTTTTATATAGAAAACGCAATGAATATATACTTATAACTTTTTTATTTATGGACCAAATTTTACGATATTTTGCATGTAAAAACATAATATTATTATTAACCATGGTATCGAGAAAAATAATAATAAAATAATCCATTTATAAAAAATAAGTCGTATTCGGTATCTTCTGTCCGCAACGGATATGCCTTTTATAGAAAACGCAATGAATATAACTTATAACTTTTTTATTTATGGACCAAATTTAACGATATTTTGCATGTAAAATCATTTTATTATTATTAAACATCGTATCAAGAAAAATAAATAATAAAATAATCAATTTATAAAAAATAAGTCGTATTCGGTATCTTCTGTCCGCAACGGATATGCCTTTTATAGAAAACGCAATGAATATAACTTATAACTTTTTTATTTATGGACCAAATTTAACGAAATTTTGCATGTAAATTTATTTTATTATTTCAATACATCGTATTAAGAAAAAAAAAAATATAAAAAAATAATTACTTTGTAAAATATAGGTCATATTCGGTATCTTCTGTCCTTCACGGATATGACTGTTATAGAAAACGCAACGAATATAACTTATAACTTTTTATTTTTATGGACCAAATTTAACGATATTTTGCATGTAAAATAATTATATAATTATAAAACATCGTATCGAGAAATAATCATAAAAAAATTAATCAATTCATAAAAAATAAGTCATATTCGGTATCTCCTGTCCGCCACGGACATGACTTTTATAGAACGTAATTCGAATATAACTTATAACTTTTTTATTTATGGACCGAATTTAACGCAATTTTGCATGTAAATTCATTTTATTATTATAAAACATAGTATCAAGAGAAATTTATAAAAAAATAATTACTTTGTAAAATATAGGTCATATTCGGTATTTATAGTGATATCCGCGGATATCACTCATATTTGGTATTAAGACATACCGCACACGAATAATCTAGGTTAACAATTTTTTGTAAACGAAAAATTATTTTGACTACGTCCACCAGGATTTTCATATGATGAGAAGTTTTAATTGCCATACTATTTGTTTTTATTCACTTTCTAAGTAAAACTTTATTTAAGTAAAGAATTGGATAAATAAAAGCAAAATGCTTGATTAATTCGTTTAAACATTTGTGTCCGATTTGTATTTTTTACTTTCAGTTCGACCAATCAAATTGTCGTTTCTAAAAAGTATGGGAAAAATCCTTCCGGTTCATTCATAGTTTGGACGATGCGGCTGATGGATTGTAAACAAAAAGCGACAAAACGAAAATGACAAGCATTGGCGTGAATGGCTCGTCCTCGTCTACTGATGGACTCCCAAAACAGTTCGTGACATCTTTGAGGATTCTATTCGATATATTAGACGAAGAGCGAACAGGTTATGTTCGTTTACGCGACATTGAAAGTCGTTGGCATGAGGAAGGAGTTTCAGGATTACCTAGCGGAGTTATTGACACTCTCAGGAAAGTGGCACCAAGAAATGGGAGACTTACCTTCGAGAATTTTGTAACTGGTTTAAAATTATCTCTGTTGAAGAACACTGGTGCAAATTTTAAGCAAGATACTAGTCAAAGGAGACGTGAAATTCCTCAACAAAATACCCACAAGCAAGGGCCAGGGGCAGGGAATGTAAATTTGCAAACAGAAAATTTAAGGCCTGCACAACCACCAGACTATGAGAACATTGTACCAACTGAAAGAATGCGGGCTGATAGAATCTTGCCAAATCAGAGTGTGTACAGCGGGCAAAGAACCCGTCCCAAAATGGGCAGTCAGGTGATAAGTTCAAATACCTCTGGATCAAATACAGCTACTGTTCGACCAAATAATGTTTTACAGTCACAGAACATTGAGTTGAGGAATCAGATTTATACTCGGGACCAAACCCAGCAGGCTGCAGTGAAAACTCATGTTAAACCAGAACATTCACGAATAACTGATGATAGAAATCAGAATGTGAGACCATCCTCATTCCATCCAAGACATAGTACAGATGGAAACCAGGTTAGAAAGGAACACACTAAAATACCATATAGACCTAAAAGTGCTCTTGCAGAGTTACAAAGACCAAAGGAAGTTAATTTTAGTGATGTGCCTGTATCTAGACCAGATCGCCCACCTCCATACCGTAGACCTCAGGAAAGAGAATCTGATGCTGCTCCAGTCCTGCCTCCTAAAGATATGAATGGACGTATAATGAATGAGCTGAAAAACTGGCAAAAGGATCAGCAGATATCCCCACCTGGTCACAGAGGAAAATTACACACAGTACACAGTGATTCCAAACTTTCTGATCAGAAGAAGCATGAAATCTATGGTAAGGTCATTTTCAGCAGGGCTGGTAAAATCTGATTTTGACTTACTTGTTTGTTTTACCAGGAGCATTTCTTTACTTGTTTGTATGATATTCTTAGAATTAAATTCCTGGAAAATCTCACTTGTCCGCACAGACTGTGGGACAAGTCACTTACAGAAATGTTGGTAATTACTGGTTAGTTATTCAGCAAACTGGTTAGTTGGGTTACATATAGGTAATTGAATGTAAATTTTCAAAACATTTAATACTGAAAAAATCCAGACACTTCTGATAGTGTCAGACACTATGGTATAATTGTATCAACACAAACTAATGTTATGTAACTAACTTTAAAGTCTTACTCATTCCCTGTAAATGTTTGATCAAAGTCTTAAAACTCTCTGACTCTAGTTCTTTAAATATTGTTTTTAAATAGTAAATCTTCATTATAAAAATAATTTGTAGTTATTGTCACCAATGTTTTCTTTTCAAAGAAAAAAGGGGGATATATGGTAATGGGTTCTGTTTGTCCGTCCGTCCATCACACTTTGTATTTTGTCCATATCACAACCATTCATAAAAGGATTCTGAAATAACTTGGCACAAATGCTCACCATGTAAAGACCCTGAGTCATTAGCAACACCCATACCCTACCTCCAGTCTGTGCGAAAGTCTGTCGGTCCTCGGACCTTGCCAACTAAAAATCAAAGGACGAAAGCCCCCCCCCTTCTAAAAATGACAAGGTGGACAAAAGCCCCCCCATGAATTTTCCACATAGGACAAAAGCCCCCCTCTAAAAAAGTAAAGGTAGGACAAAAGCCCCCCCCCCCATGGTCCATCACATTTACATTTAGTGTAAATGAAATAATATCTGCCTTTTTGATTTTGTGCCATGTCACAATGTATCAGACTCAACTAAAAGTGAACATTTTCTGAAACTGAACTGTAGCAGAGACTGTGAGAATAATTTATCAATAAAGAGTGTTTTTTTCATCCATGTGCTCTTCATCTTCATGTTTGTAATATTTTTAAGCATGCATGTATTAAAGTTGTGTTTTTTATGTGAATAAAAAATATGTATGGACATCAAATGTAGGTGACATAGTGTTAAGGATATTAATTTGATCCCTTTACAAAAGTGATTACTACTCTTCTGACGCTTGTTGTGTATATGAAAAGCTATGAATTCAGTATTACATGCATGCATTATTTCATCTGTTATCATACTTTGTTATCACTTCAATATATACATTAATAATAAACATTAAAGCAGCACGCCTCCAGATTCATCCTAATTTTCATGAAAATTTTGAAAATGTATTTAAAGGTAAAATATTGTGAAATGAACAAAGAAATTACTTGACACATTACAATCGGCACTTAAAATACACGTAAATTACCAAAAAGAGGTCAAAATATGCATAAATAGCCCTTACTGTGTTAGTAACGCAGTAGAAATATGGTGATAAATACTACAAAATACAGTCATTAATTACACTTAAGGTATACACTATATGTAAATTTGATGGACCATGGGGGGGCTTTTGTCCTACCTTTACTTTTTTATGGGGGGGGGGGCTTATGTCCTATGTGGAAATTTCATGGGGGGGCTTTTGTCCACCTTGTCATTTTTAGAAGGGGGGGCTTTCGTCCGGAGGGGCTTTCGTCCGTATCCCCTAAAAATCAGGAGGGCCGAGATAAATTTCTATACAGTCACTCCTCATGTCCGAATAAAATTTCAGCCAGTTTGAAAATTTTTGGCCTTCTGAAATATGCAAAACTTCCAAGATCGATCTTTTTTTTTTTTTCATTTTTGCTTGTATTCACAGACCCAGATAACCAAAATCACCGCAAGATACAACCAGTTTTTGCTAAGTAATGTAAGCCACCATTTTGTCTTGGACAATTTCCTTACCAAAACATATTTTGTCTCCAACCTTTGAAAGATGTATCGTTTTCTTGTGAATTAAACTAAAGTTTTATATACATGTATTATGTTTTTGTATATTTTTTTCATAGTATCTGATAGCTAAGTCTGATAATTCATATTTTCTTAATATTTTTGTTTATAATTATGGCAACATCCCTCCCCCACCCCTACAAAAAATACCTTTCAGAGTCCGGGCCGGGAAAAAATCATCAGGGCCGGAAATAAATCTAAGGATCCCAGTCCTTGTGGCGGGAAAAAAATTTTGACTTTAGCATTGACTGTACCTCCAAGTCAATGTTTATACACTCAGAGGTCAATTAAAAGCTGATCATGGTCTGTTGTAGGTCCTCAATTTTTTGTGTTCAACTCACAACTTTTCAACTCATCAAAGGGTTTTGAATTACATGTAACTTTGCACAAATGTTTACCATATGATAATAAAGTGACATGTCATACATTTGAACACCTAACCTTTGCCTGCAAGATCAATGTCAGATTTGGAGATCAAAGGTCAACATAGGCTGATGGAGGAGTATTTTTTGTACTTTTTTATCCAGTTAAGGATTTTGAAATAAGTTTGCACAAAATTTCACTATATTAAGACAATATATCATATGCAGACTGGGACTCCTGCCACCATGGTGAAGGGTACACTTAGAGGCCAAAGCTTAACATAGTCTGTAATTAAATTGTCTAGACAATAATTATAAACTCAGAAAGCATTTTTGGAAATTCCAGTGAAACTTAAAAAATAAATAGAAAACAGTCACAGGTTTTTCACATTATATAAGTTAACACAGGCATTTTAAAAAGGCCTTCCCATTAGAAATTTCCTTTAAAAAACTTGCATTGTTCCAAAAAATTCATACATAGATACACTAGCATTTTACTTTCCCAAACCTGCAATTTGAGTGACAATTTTTCCCAAAATCAAAGGAGCTTAAAGGCCTCTTCCCAGTTAAGAGAGAGGAACCCCTGATGGAATGTGAGAGGCAGTGCATGATCTTCACGTGCAACAAAAATAAAATGAAATATAAATTAAAATATGTGTAGGAGAGCGTTGTTTTCATTAAAGATATATTGTAATTTGCATGATGTACTAAAACCTTTTTTTTTCTCTTATTACAATGCCTCATGTCCTTCGTTCAGCATTATTAAATAAAGCAAAAATAAAGCAAACAGCAGTATAGATTATTGCTATTCTTTTATATAAAAAAACTAGATCTTGGGTGTAAGATATTGATTTCTGAGCTAAACAAGCTTCTTCATAGTAATAAAGTGCCACCATGTGGTAACATATTGCAATTTAGACATACTTCAATGGGTTTTACCTGTTTTTAATACATCAATTCTATTGATTTGTGGTCCAAAAGAAGGTAATTAAGTCAACAGCCTTTAGAGGTAATCAATAGGTTTTTGTAAAGGTTTTATAGTTTTACATTTTGTAAGTTTTTTGGTTTTTTTTCACTTGATTGGGAAGAGGCCTTAGCCTATTGATTTTGGGAAAAATTATTGCTTAAATTGCTAATTTGGGGTGTAACCTGGGAAAACTGCAAATTGGAATGATCAAAGGAATGAGAATCAAAGTTCACTTGTACATGTATATTCCTTTACTAACCATTATAATTAATAATGGAAATTAACTTCATATTAAGGTCAATTTAGCCCTGAATTGAACATCGCAAAATAAATTAATTAAATAAGATACCCAAATAGTGGTTTACAAAATCCATAGCATTGTAATAGGAAAAAACATTGTTAATAATTATGTTTTGTTATTTTGTTTCTTGTTATGTTTTTTTTTTTCTAAAATTTATTTTTTTTAATTATTTTCCTTTATAATAGTAATACATTATTCTAATAAATAGAATGAATGAAGTATCATAAAATTTGTTGAAAATGAAGGCATGAAAATATTTCTGTAAAAGCCACCTGGTTAATTGTTTCCTGTTTAAACATATCAAGGGTATTTTTTGTGTGCAGAAAAACTATGACATTCAGAAGATCTTGTGTTGCAGACAACAAAAAGGATCAACATTTGTTTGTTTTATGAACGATAGTGGATTACGATTAAATCTCTTCAAGTACAGTCTGTTGATTGAGTAAGACGTAGTTTATACGGCCTGCTAGTTTTGTTTGACACCTAAAATAATATCCATTATTTTTGGAAAGATGTCAACGATATTAGCTCCCCGTTATTGTACTAATTAGCTTTGTTATATTGCAACGGTTGTTTACAAACTTGTCTAACCTGTGGCCATTCACTGTTTGTCACAATAGATCTATTGTTAGGACGCAAACTATTGGGAGCTCTATGTCGGTCATTCTCGTAATTTTATTATTAGTTTTGAAAACGGCAATAATGCTTTTATTTTGAACATAATGATCAATTAATAATTATATTGAAAAAAGGTTTTAAAAGTATTTATTTTACAGCATGTTTTTTAATGATAAAGGTCAGCTTATATGGTTTATATATAAAAATAAAATGTGCCAGTTTTTGTAATAAAAATTTACAGTATTTACATGTAGCGAGCAAATTGATATAATAGGAGAGTCCAAAATCCTAGAAGCATCATAAAGTTTGAAAATCTTACATTGATCAACTAAGGCACTTAAAGTTGAATATTTATAAAGATGATGATAAAGAAATATATAAATTTAACATATGATTTTGTAATAAGTTTTATTACATGTATATCCTTGTTTAAATTCCATTAATTTGAAATTAAAATTTCAAGGACATCAGGTAGCTTTATAAAATTGCAACTTCATCATTTGATACCATTTTATAGGGGGGAAAAGTTTTTTTCTCTCTTGTATTGAGCATGTGTCAGATGTTATCACTCCTTTGAAGTTTAATAGTGATCAGACTTTTCAATGATCAAGGTGATACAAGTGTTTAAGTCAATGATCCATGTGACAAGACGCTTATTGCCGTGATAAGAGGGGCACAGCCTTACTTGTTTTCAGTCGTTGGTGAAATGTCAGGCCCTTGCAATTGAATGTATAGATTTGGTGTGATAAATGGATATGGTACAAAATGACTTTGAAGTACAAAGATGTAAAATAGATACTTCAATTTATAGA